ATATATTTTCATTTTGTTTTGTTTTTAAAAGTAAATTTTAAAAATTGGTTTTCAAAATAGCTTTTAAGAAAACAAAACGTGAAGACAAATCCAGTCAAGCTCTTAGTTTTTTTAGGCTAAATTACACATTACTCCGAACTCCATTGAACTTTAGATCATGTACACATTATTTTCTTAACTTTTAAAACTATACAATGAATCCTCTCAACTCTTATATTTATACAAATAATTCTATATGATTAATTTTATACATTAATTATTTACACATAATTTAAAAATTAGGGGAGTTATCCATATAGTAATCAAAGTTTTAGAGGCTTAAATGCACACAAAAATAAAGTTTAAAAAGGTATAAAAATAATGGCTAAGGTTATCATTATATATAAAAAGTATGGTTAAAAGCTATAAGAGAATGCCATGTGTTTATTTTTAAGTTTATTATAATTCTGTACTTCAGGATACCTTTTTTATAATTCCGTGCTTCAGAGTCAAGTTTAAAGTTAGGTTTTGAATGATTTATTATTTCTTAATGTCTATAAAATATATTATTTAGATTTGGAGTTAGATACAGGATAAATTATTAATTTTTATATGTATATAAAAATTCATTTTTACCTATTTTAAAATTTAAATATGATCGTATTTGAATTTAAATTAATATCTATCTATTATAAAATTTAGAAAAAATAACTCTGTTTAAAATTTCCATTTGTCATCATCATTTTTAAAATTTTCATCTATCCTAAAGATTTGCATAAAATCAAGGTTCATATGATTGTGTCTGTGTATTTATCTATTTAAATTCAAATTCAAATTAATATATATATATATATATATTTAAATATTTTGAAAAAATAATTTGTGTTTGAGTATTTAGGTTTATTTTCATGATTTCAAAAAATTTGTATCATATAATAAAATATAGATATCTTTTTATTTGAAGTCAAATTAACATCAATCAATCTAAATATTTAATATGCAATTATGAGTTTAAAAATAATAAAATAAATATTTTTATAAATAAGGAAACATATATTATCAATTATTTACATTTAAAATATTAATTTCAATGGTTTGATATAAGTATTTAGTATTACATGGTTTAAAAATATTAAATTCGTTTAGGATTTACATATATGATGATGTGGTAAGTGATAATTAATTTTTGAATTCAAATTAATTTGGGATCACTTTAGATATCTGTCATTATAAAAATTAATATTTAATATATATAATCATGATTTAAAAAAATCTTCCTTTCATTTTTTTCACTCAATTCAACCTTATTCAATTATAAATTACTAGACCAAGGTAATATCACACTTTACAATTCTACATTCCACTCACTCCTGTAATCATGTTAGGTTCATTCTTCAATGTTTAATCAGTAGGGGTGATTTTGACCTTTTATTCTAATGTCTAAGGAATAAAATAAGAAAAAAAGAATTATGTTATTATTTAGGAAAACGTCTTTAGGTTCAAATTCTAAGCATATTCAATAATTAAATTAAATTGGCAATTTAAATTCAAAATTTCATCCAGCGTAGATACTATACCAATTATAAATTAATAAACATGAGTTTGGCTATAATTTCATTTTACGATTCAAGCTTGAATTAATTCTATCATTCATGAGCTTATTGTGTAGATAGGTGTATCCTAAATTCTTAATTATCATTCAATCCCATCATTTACTTACATTGCCAATGTTTATTTAGTCTTTCACTTGTTTACATCAAATCTACCTTAACGTTTCTTCTTCTATTAATTTTTATTTTGTAAAAAAAAAAATAATAGATTCATTATTAGATAATCATAGTTGTATTATATTTAAAATCTCAACTGGGAGAGATATCTAATTTTATTGCCTAACCATACAACGAATAAGATTGCCTCAAATAAAAAAAAAATACTTGTGAGCAATTAAAAAATATTTAATAACATTTAATATCATTATCATATTCATTGTGCAATGGTTTGTTTAAGACATTAATAATCAAATGAAGAAAAGCTGTTGGAGAGTGTTATTTATAATTTTATTAATATTAGTTGAATTTATAAGATTACCTTTCTTCATGTGTCATACCTAATATAAATTACTTAGTTATTATCATAAAAAATATTAAAAATTAATATATTATTTTAATTCAAAATTTTAATTCGTTTTCTAAAATAATATATAATCATTGAGTTTTTATAATTTAAAAATATTATTTTTCAAGAGAAAATAATTTTAGACAGAGATAGTATATAAAATTTTTTTGTTATTTTAAATTTATTTGATGATGATCATGTTTTCAAAAGAAGGCCAAACCTATATTTTATATCAAATTGGTTGGTCCCAATCTTAGTGCATAAAGTTTGGGAACCGAGTTGATAACTAACTCAGTCTTGTCAGTGACGAAGCTAGAAAATTTAAAATATAAGTACAACATGCATATATGTATATATTTTTTTGGAAAATGGTAAATAAATTTATTAAAATAAGTAAATGACAAATAATATTGTGAAATGGAGTAATTTTGTTAGTGATTATATTTCTAACTATCTATAAAATAATAGACAATGTAGTTGTTAAAATCTAAATTAAAATTGTCAAAAACAAAGGTAAAATTGTTAATATGATAAATATATTTGTTATTGGATGACTATATTGAAGTTATGACTGTGTTATTAATACTTAAACTAAAATTGTCAATTACTATACTAAAGTTGTTAATACAAGTAAGGCTCTAATGGCACACGAGTTTGTATCAAAACTCTTGACATATATTTAAAAAATATTCTAAAGTCAAACAACCCATTAATTGATGATATTTTCTTTTGAAGGAAAAGTTATTGTATTTAGTTGAGATTTTAAACAAATCTTTCATACTATTCCAGGTAGGTCAAGAGATGATTTTCTTCTTGCCACCATTAACTCTTCGTACATATGAGATAATTATCAACTCTTTACACTAATAAGAAACATATGAATTCTAACAATAAATACTGGGGCATCTATTAGTGTTTCTTAATATTTTGCTTAATAGATTATCAACTGGTGATTAGATTACTATTAAAAGTAATGAAAGATCTATGGATATTAAAATCCCAACTGAATTTGTTATTTGAAGGTTTGAATAACCCAATAAAGTCTATTATTAATTCAACTTTCTTGAATTATCCTTAACAATATCTATAAATCTTTAAATTTTAGATATATGGCTATATTAACTCCTTTGTTGACTAAAATTAAAGAAGTAAACAAGTACATATTGTCCCTACTTTTTGGTGAGAAAATTGTGTACTTGAGCTTTGATAGTGTTGTGAAAGATGATGGAGACATATATTTACTCGATGGCATGTACTCTATAATTTTCTAAATTAAATTTCAATGCTAGGCCCTCTTGAATTATGGACTAAGGCTTAAAATGGGTGCTTTAATTATTTTAATGTGGAACATTGATATATTTATAAGGTTGTGTAATGGTACATGTCTCATGATTACAAGAATTGAAAAATGTGTTATTAAGGCCAAATAAATGTCTACAGATCAAATACAAGGACAAAATTATATATATTCCATGTTGATGTGTGTACGTCCATCTAATTCCGTGTTATTATTTACTATAAGAGGGCAGTTTCTCATTATGTTAATTTTTGCCATGATCATTAATAAGAGTTAAAGCTAAAGTATGTGTTATGTTTTGGTTTATACTTGCCTCATCCTATTTTCACTCCACAATCAATTATATACTATTGTTTCTCGTGTTTAAAGCAAGAATTAAGGATTTAAAAATTGATTCTTGATGAGAGTGGTCGCTCCGCAAATAAAATTTCTAATGTCACTTATAAGAAAATCTTTGGCAATTTGATTTAAATAATTATAAATTTTTGTTAATTTTCTTCCCATCTCTATTTACACAATATGCATTTAATTTTTTATCATTTGCTTTAGTCTAACATGCATATTTAATATTCATAGCAATAATTATATAATCCCATTGCATATAAGAAGATATAGAGATCGAAAGTGTTTATTATAAGTTATTCTCTTGAGAAACTTCTTCCTACAAGATTAATAATTGTTCACAAAAATTGTAATATAAGACTCGTGCATCGCACAGGTAGTTTACTAGTTTATATAGATTTGGAAGTTTAAGAGGATTCATTAAAGTTTCAAAGATCATGAAAATTACTTATGCATAATTCAAATCTTAGGAGAGCTTTGTATAATTTAACTTTTTTTTTTATAATATATAATCATCCAAGTTTATGAAATTTATCATTGAAAATTTTCATCAATAATTACTTTCATTTGGAAGAGAGTACTTTGCTTGCTACTCATTTTTATCTAACAAGCCTAAATGAAGCTCTTCAAAATAGGGATGATACAACTTTCAGTTATTTAAATTTATAAATTATCAATTTAATTCCTTAAATTTAATTTTTAACAATTTAATTCCTTAAATTTACTTTAATTATTAATTTGACCGTTCTTGTTTAAACAAAAAAATACATTGTTAAAATTTGTTACGCTCATGTAATCAATTATTTTGATAAAAATTAAACTAATTTGAAGGTTAATTTATCTTCATTTAACTACATTTACAAATTAAGTCATCCATCTACATCACACATTAAATTATTTTACAAGTTAATTTATATTTTAAAACTTAAAAAGACTTATATGATAATTTAATAAAACATAAAAGATTAAATCAACAAAAATTAAATTTAAAGGGTCAAATCGACAATCAAAATAAATTTAAAGAATTAAAAGTTTTATTATCCCCTCAAAGTATTTGAAACGTTGGAAAAGTATAATCGGCAACTCTATTATTTATAGGTCATTAAATGTATCCTAGAATTATTATACATCCCTTTAAAATGAAACAGGGGCATGTATACATGCGAAATTATGGTTCACTCTCAGGTATTGCATTCATGGAAAACGCTGAAAGCTTAAACCGTGCTGTTAAATTCCACGGTCCTCAAAATGTTGGGTTGTCCCATCCTTTCCATGGAATACTTTTTTTATTTCAAAAGAGATCATGGAGATAATTTCTCCCACAATTTTTACAAAGCATTGGTGACAGGACAAGATGAAGAGATCACACATCACATGCTCAGCTAATTTTTTAAGGTGAAGAGAAGCACTCACATTGCATCTATAATTTCCTTCCCACACGAAAACCAGAATTACCACTGCTGAAATTACAAAGAAGCAACATCGACAAACCACAGTGACATCAGAATAAAGCATGGGATAAAAATGAATCATAACACTTGTCACATGAAACAAACTGCTGAAGGATATTAGGAGGACAAACACAGAAACCAATGCCTTCCCATCTCTCCTCCTGTTCTGTTTTGCACCTCAGTGTCTCCGTTTCAAATGCCAAACCGCTTGACAGACCAACATGTTCCAAAAAAATATCATGATTTAAAGATATCTCTTGATGTGACCTATGAATACCAAATTCTAGTTTATGCAGCAACTGATGGCTCCTGCATTGAAGTTTGAAGGACGAAATAAGATTATACCAATTTATTGTGTAACAATCGATGCACAAGCACAGCTACATGTATTTTAGAATTTTTCCCTTTTTTCCTCATCCGTGTTTGTGTGTTGTGTTTCCATACAAAGAGTTCAAAGACAACACAACAGCAGAGAGGCCCATATTGTAAGAGCAGAACTCACCTTCGCTGTCAAGTTAGACACAGCCAAATGGAACTTTTCTCTAGTCTTCGTACCGGCAAGCTGTCCAGCCCTTGCCACCTTACCAAAAGCACCATTTAACCATGTCGTTCCAGCAGTCACATATCTGTGGAGAACCAAAAGGTTAGTCATGGACAGGCATATGGTTTGTTATCAGCATTTTGAAAAACACACTACTTGAAATCAAAATAAGCCACAATATTCATGCATATTTTGCTACTCTCCTACCTTTGTTCCACCCAGGCAGGAACAACAAGATTGTCTAAATTTCTTTTCCGTTTTATTAAACTGTATTTTCTTATAGGGAGGAGGATTGAACAAGCACTACAAAAAGTTTAAGAACAGGTGCAGCAACCGCAACAGAGACCATTATTTAGCATTAGTCATCATGTCTCCAAGCGACAAGGAATAAACAAATTTTAAGCTAGAAAATGAAGATCAACTCACAAGGTGCAATTTCATTATATTGATTAATAAACCATGAAAGCTACTTGGTTTCACCAAATCATCCATCAAGAGAACTAGAACTAGCCTGTCATTGTCCCCAGTAACAGAGAAACACAATCTTTTAAAGGAAAAGTAGATATTCTAACCAAAAAAAGCCCCCATTGAATCAGTGAGAATCTTCAATGACATTGTGAAATGCAACCTTCTTATTAGCCGCAGAATGCATCAATCAATGAAACCTAGGCTTGATGCTGTCACGACTGAAAGCTCCCCTTCCCCGGAACTTCTTTTTCCCCTTTTAATAGCTCATCACCTCATCAGCTTTATACTCAAGTAATCAAATCCTTAGGATCCTAATAGAAAACTCCAGATTATGTTTCCTAGATATTTGCCCAAATATCCACTATTTCTCCCCTTCCCTTATTCATAATTCCTTGCAGGAAGGGGAGCTTATTATGCCAAAGTAATAAAAGACAACTGGCTCTTCTTAAGAGGCTAATTTATGTGAAAAAACATTTTATGCAGGTCATCATCAGGAACAGAATTTAGGGCAAAATAACTTTCATAACAATTAATGAGACAACATTGTATTTGTATATTGTGTGAAACATCATTTTGAACCTGCTAGTTTTGACCGCTGATCCAGTATCATTTAACTTCCTCTCAGCTGCTAATATTGCGGCCATAGTTTTATCTGAAACATGAAGCCTCTGATCAACATACTTCACCTTCTCATTAACCGCAGAAATGCCAACTGTCAATTTCTCTGTAAGACCAACCCTCTTGTCAAAAGAAGCAACCTTAGCAGATGCGTTGGCAGTAAACTGATGCTTTTCATCAAATGCTTTAGCTTTATTCAAGGCATCTTGTCTAATTGCCGAACCTTTAGCGAGCATACTTGTAACTACATCTTGTGCTCTACTAACATATATTCTTCCACTGCTAGTGGGACTTGTTTTCTCCTGCAGAAAGAGATTTTGCACAACAGACCATTAGCTCACTCCAGAAAAGAATGCAATGTTACCCAATACTAACAATTGCCTGACTTCCAAGATAAACTTCAGGTGCTTCAAAAGCTTATAAGCATATAATACAAAACTTACACAGTAGTTACAACACTAGTGATATATAATTAAATGTTTATTGATATAGACACTTTTTACTAAATGATCACAAGGTAAATGCAATATGTTATACATATAATTCAACAAAACTTTTCAAGGAACACATCAGGCAAGGAAAGCATATTAGACTTTGAATTTTCAGTTTTACCTCAACATTTGGTGTAACATTTTCAACAGGAGCAACATTTGTAGCATTTTCCACCACCATTACTTCCTGCATAAATTGCACTTGATCAGATCAGAATTCCAGATGAGCACACTGATAGGAGCTCAGAATAACCGGAAGAAATAATAAGAATAAATCTATTAAGATGATATAGAACAAGAATCTCGTTCTATATTTTTCTCAATAGCCACGCTCGGGAGAATCTCCAAAAAGTTTGAAAGACTGTTTTATTAATCTCATCATATGCTAGCTTCAAGGTTGCTAGTCATATTTATAATGCTAAATACAATCTAAAATAAAATCTAATAACTATTTAAGATAATGAATAAAATCTAGATAACTAGATAACTAAATACAATTTCCTAATATCTAAAATATTGAATAAAATCTAACTAGATAAAATCTGAATCTAAAGAATTAAATAACTAAATAAAATCTGAAGAAATATCTAAAAACTAAATAAAATACTAAATTAAATGAAATCAATCCTAATTTATCTTTTGCTTTTTCCTTCTTGAATAAGTCTGAATTCTATTTGGAATCTTATCATTACCTCCTCTTGAAAACTCAACTTGTCCTCAAGTTGAAAAGAAGGAAATTGAGCATGCAATAAGTCGTAGTCCTCCCAGCTCGCTTCTTCCACAGGTCACGTGTGCCATTCCACCAATAGTTCAAGTGAATGATAATGAGTCCATCTATGATCTAAGACTCGATGAGGTCGTACATGTAACTCAAAATCAGCTGATAATGGTAAGGCAGCTGGTGCAAGTGGTGGATCCATCCCATGAGCCAGGCGCAAGAGAGATACATGGAAAATAGGGTGAACACAAGCATCTGCTGGCAGCTCCAATTCATAAGCTACTTTGCCAATTCTTCGAAGAATCTTGTAGGGCCCAAAGAAGTGCGGTGATAATTTTTCAAACTTTTCCTTGGGAAGGGACTGTTGGCGAAAAGGCTGTACTCGCAACCACACATCGCCCATAGCATACTCAACTTCCCTTCGATGCTTGTCAACATAAGCCTTCATTTAGTCTTGAGCCTTACGCGGATCATCCTTCAAAAGTTGGATCATTGCATCTCTAGTCTCAAGTTGATCTTCCAAGTCAGCTATTGGTGTTTCTCCTTTCACATAAGGAAGTAAGGGAGAAGGATCTCTCCCGTATACTAGCTTGAAAGGTGAATAGTTGGTTTACGTATGATGACCTGTGTTGTATGAGTATTCTGCCCAACAAAGGAACTTGTGCCAAGACTTGGATTGCTCGTGCACAAAACATCGCAAATAGGCTTCAAGACTGCAGTTGACCACTTCTGTTTGACCGTCTGTTTGAAGGATGGTAAGCAATACTCATCTTCAACTAGATCTAGCTTAATCGAAATAACTCTTGCCAAAACGAACTCATGAAGATAGGGTCCTGTCAGAGACAATCGAGCGAGGTACCCCATGCAGGTAGATAATTTCCTCACAGAAGATTGTGGCAACCTTCTTGGTAGTATAAGGATGTGAAAAAGCAAGAAAATGGGCATACTTACTTAAACGATCCACCACTACCAAAATAACTTCACACCCACCAGACTTTGGAAGACCTGTGATAAAATCAATTGAGATGTCCTCCCAAATCTAAGAAGGTACAGGTAAGGGTTGAAGAAGTCTGCTAGCGTCAGAGTTTGATACTTATTTTGCTGACAAGTGGCACAATGTCGCACATATGCTTTCACATCTACTTTCATTGCCGGGCAATAAAAATTCTCCGAGAGACGTTTAACTGTTTTAAGAAAACCACCGTGTCCTCCAATAGTAGTAGAATGAGCTTCTGCTAGTAACTTTGGTCGTAACTGTGATGAATAAGGAATAACACTTGGTGATCATAGAAAAGTTTTTGATTAACCAGGTGGAATCTAAGACGAGATGTTGGATCATTTTGCAAATCCTGCCTTATTGCATTAGTAAATGGATCTAAGGCCAATTTAGAGGGGAGGTCATGTAGCTCGGGCACAAAGGGGACTGCTAACTGAAAAAAATCTGCATATTGCAGTCGTATAACACATCAGCCCCCTTATTTTCCACTCCTGTTTTGTAGATAATAGTAAAATTAAATGGTAAAAGCTTGATGATCAATCTTTGTTGAGTGTTGGTTGTGATACGTTGTTGTAGTAAATATTGAAGACTGGCGTGATCTATTCTAACAAAGAAATGCCTCCCGAGGTGGTAATGACACCATTTTTGTACTGCAAGCACTAACACAAGGAGTTCACGATCGTAAGTGGACTTGAACCAGTGAGAGAAAGAAAACCCTTCACTGAAGTAAGCAATAGGATGGTTGTTTTGCAATAGTATAGCCCCAATCCCTTTGGTGGATGCATCGCATTCAACTGTAAATTTCTTTTCAAAATTAGGCAAGTGTAAAACAGGTGCCATCATCAATGCAAGTTTCAAGCGATTAAAGGCCTTATGAGCTGGTTCAGACCATAAGAAGGCATCCTTCTTAGTCAACTCAGTAAGGGGTCACGCAATAATCTCGAAATTCTTCACAAAACATTGGTAATATCCAACAAGGCTTAAAAAACCACGTAACTCCTTTACATTTTTTGGAATAGGCCATTCATGTACTGCCTTCACCTTTTCAGCTTCCACCTCTACTCCCTAGGCAAAAATTTGTGTCCTAAAAAAAGGAACTCTTAGCCTCCCTATAAAGCATTTTTTTAAATTGACACAGAACACATTTCCCTGTAGTGTTTGCAAGACAGTGTGCAAGTGATCTTAGTGCTATTGGAAGGAGGAACTATAGATCAAAATATCATTAAAAAATACCAATACAAATTTTCGCAAATAGGGACGAAATAAATCGTTCATAGCCGCTTGAAAAAGGGCTAGAGCATTAGTTAACCCGAAAGGCATGACTGTGAATTCATAGTGCCCAGAGTGGGTTCGAAATGCCGTTTTGTAAATATCATCAGGTGACATCCTAATTTGGTGGTATCCAAATCGTAGATCCAATTTGGAGAAATAAATCGCCCCGTGTAGCTCATCTAATAACTCATCAATATTAGGAATTGGATATTTGTCTAGAATTGTGATGCTATTTAATTTTCGATAATCTACACAAAAATGCCATGAACCATCCTTTTTTGCGACCACCAAGACTGGGTTGGCAAATAGGCTGGAACTAGGTTGAATGAACCCTTTTTTTAGTAATTTTTCAACTTGCTTCTTTGTCTGAATTTTTTGATAATGAGGATACCTGAACGGTCGTAAATTAGGAGGATTGGCCCTTGGTAGTAGGATAATGGTATGTGAGTGATTTCTAAATAGTGGCAAGTTTGTGGGTTCTTCAAAAACAGATGGGAATGCTACAATTAAAGGTTTTAGGTTGAAATATTGGAGAGGTTTAGAGTCAGCGGAAGCTTCAATTTGTTGCATTGAGTTAAGTTGGGCACCTCTAGTAGCATTAGGGACTCCTTGCAGCTTATATGTCTTACCATTTATCCAAAAAATCATAAAGAGTTGATTCCAATTGGCTTACACTGTGTTAAGAGATGCTAGCCACTTAATACCAAGAACCAGATCAACCCCACCAAAGTGAAGGGGAAAAAATCTTCCTTAATGGTTAGACCTATCAGTTCTACTTCCACATTTTTGCAAGTTCGGTTGCAACGCACAATACTACTGTCACCGATTTGAACTCCAAAAGTAGAAATAAATTGGGTAGGTAGATGAAGTCCCTGGATTAATGCATCACAGATAAAATTGTGTGTGGACCTACAACCCAATAACAATAACACCTGTTGAGAGCCCAATCTTCCACTAAGTTTCATTGCTGACCCAGAGTTACTGCCCAGGATGGCATTTAATGAAATTTCAGCTCTATGTGGTTTTATTTCTTCGAATGCAATGTCTTCGAGTGGAGGAATAATCTCCTCGCCCTCTTCTGTGACCTCCATTAAGGGGAATGAACTCTTGCATCGATGCCTAGGCCGAAATTAGTCCCCACAGCGGAAGCAAAGGCCCTTCTCCCTCCTGCGTAAGTGCTTGGCATCCATGGACATTGGTCTGGCCAAGCTCGACGATACAGTGTTGAATGAATAAGACATTGCTGGGCTTCTATATGAGTTCGAAGACGCCGTCGAAGCTTTCTGGGCCTGAGTCGTCTATTCTCGTGCGAAGGCAAAGGAAGAATTATATTGATTCTGGGTTTGTAGAACATTCGGCTTGGACCCATGAGAGAGAAGCTTCCCTTCAAACTCCAGTGCAACACTCATAGCTCAATAAACACTCCTGGGTTTGTGAATACGTACATCTAAGCGCAAGTCATCCTTCAGTCCGTTCAGAAAAACACCGAGTAGGCAGTGCTCCAACCAATTCTTGACTCGCAATGATCATTTAGCAAATTTTGCTCTGTATCCCTATACGCTTCCTTCTTGTTTGATGCTGCACAAGAATTTGTCAGGGTTTTGGCACTCAGGGGGGCCAAAATTCTCCTGAAAAGCTGCCACTAGTTCATCCCAGTAATGAAGCGTCCGTTCATGGCTGATCCAAGCAAACAAGTCAAGGGTGTCACCTTCCAGAGACAACGAAGCTACGTCTACTTTATCCTCTTCAGGTGTGCCATAATATTTGAAGTATTTTCCAGCCTTCAAGAACCAACCTCGTGGATCACCTCTACTGAATTTTGGAAATTCAATTTTTGTGCGACGAAATCTGCTACGTCAATGATTTTCTTTCTCTTCTTCACTTTCTTCTTCATAATAACGCTTGCGGGAGCCCTCTCAGGCATTTTTGCCTTTGTTGAGTACAGAGGCTTCAAGTTTATTTTATCTTTTAATAAATCAAGAGTTTCGAGTCTTGAGGCTATGGCAGCTAGATCTGAAACAATCGAGTCTTGATTTTCTAAGGAATGATTGGATGAATTGTCAGGATGGTTTGTTTCTTGACCCGTACGAGTAGTAACCATGGCTCTGATGCCAAATTGATAGGAGCTCAGAATAACCAGAAGAAATAATAAGAATAAATCTATTAAAATGATATAGAACAAAAATCTCATTCTATATTTTTCTCAATAGCCACGCTTGGGAGAATCTCCAAAGGGTTTGAAAGACTGTTTTATTAATCCCATCATATGCTAGTTTCAAGGTTGCTAGTCACATTTATAATGCTAAATACAATCTAAAATAAAATCTAGATAACTATTTAAGATAATGAATAAAATCTAGATAACTAGATAACTAAATAAAATTTCCTAATATCTAAAGTACCGAATAAAAATAACTAAATAAAATCTGAAGAAATATCTAAAAACTAAACAAAATACTAAATTAAATGAAATTAATCCTAATTTATCTTTTGCTTCTTCCTTCTTGAATAAGTCTGAATTCTATCCAGAATCTTATCACACACATAAATATTGCATCCACAGCAAGGTCTTAATATGTTCACCTGCATCTCTTGTTTCGGTATGTAATTCTCAGCTGGAGTTATACTCACGATCTGATCTACTATAGTTGCACCCTGCAAAATATATAACAGAACTTTCACTTTCTCAGGTCACATAAGTGCAAAAGCATAGGAACTCCCAATTTCATATGAAAATTAAAACATTATCATGTCAAAAGAACAAAGGCATGTGACTCTAAATGTTTTTGACAGAAAACTCAAACAGATATGTTTAAAATACTTCAACATTCTATATTCAGGAGCTAAGTCTCTGAACAAAAACAGTGAAACTTCAACATTCTAAAAGAGTTCTGTTTTCCGCATAACACACCAATCCCCCCCCGGGGGCAAAAAAAAAAAAACCAAGAAGAAGAAGAAGGAATGAAAGGAAGTAAGGGGGAAATGTTCATCTCTTCTAAAGCTCAAGTTCATCAAATTTGAACACGAATCCAGTATACGTCATTCATCAGGAATGCCACTGCGCTTGGTTGTGCAAATGCAGAAAAAAAGAGGGCAGGAAGCGTTATTATTGGCTTGAGAAATGAGAACCTTAATTCAAGCTCCATAACTGAATATCACTTCAAAATGCCGATGATATCTTAGAAAGAGCACATGGAGTTTGATGCAAAAGTAAAGTCTAAAAGTAAAAACATTCATTCCGTGTGCAATAAACCTTCTTCAAGAATGCACCGAAGCACTTTCAATTTTGACATACATGTACGTTGGAAATTAATTGAAGCCATTTCTTCCGGATTCTGTCAAGTTAGAAGGTAGACTTTAAGGTTTGACGCAACTACACGAATATGCATAAAGGAAAGAGACATTACCGATAACAACAACGCAATCTCAAGCGCCTTTGGGTCTTTAAATGTCACGTATGCTGTCTTTAATTTCCCGGAATCACTGAAACCAACAGACAACACCATAGTCATAATAATTAATATGGTTCCTTGTCATATGCACGGAGAAGAGAAAGAGATGCAAAGACTGAAACAAATGTAGAGCTTATCCCACTCTCTGACACAAATTCACATAGAAAATATCCGAGCTTTACTTAGTCTTTGATCACGTTTTCTAAGCTCCCGTTGGGGTGGAATACCAAAAAGGAAAGTAGAGACTAGAGAGACAAACTGGGGGGCAGTGGCGGCGCACTTTACAATAGTTAGCCGCGGCTCACTTAGCATTTTTTTTTCCAGTTTAATTCGTTAGATGTAAAGTAAAAGTACCCGTGATTGACAGACTGTCTTTTGTTCTCCCCCATTTTCTCAGCGTCCAACCAGAGGCAGGTATATCAAAATGACCAGACTTGAATTCGAATAACAGAAAGAAAAGAAGTAGAAATCGAACATTCCGGTGCGTAAAATACCCACCTTTGGATCTCAATGTGCTCGATTTCTCCAGAAAATGAGAAAAATTCGTGAATCTCTCTCTCAGTAGCTAGATCTGAAACATTCTTTACTTGAACCGACCTTGTCTGGAAAACACAGAGAGAGAAAACCGATTGAGCTTCTAATTATGACAATAAAATCGAACTAAAAGCGTGACAGCATGATAGAGTGGAGCCTCGAATTCGGCAAATACTGACCTGCATTGCGATGACCTGTCAGCAGCAGTAGATGCAATTCGCCCCGGAAAAACAATTACTATTATGATTTTGAATGTAGAGTTGGACAGGTTCCGTGGCCGAGGGTGCCAGCAGAGATAGAAAGAAGATAAGAAACAGCTCGGGCAGCAACCGTCACCGAACAGATAGGAGTCGCGTTGAAGCAGAGCTGAGAACACAGTGAGAGGGAAGGAGGGGGGGGGGGGAAGGAGACGTATGAGTGTTGTAGTGTGAGGTTGGAAGGAATGTAATTATAATGTGGCTCTCATGCCAGCCTGAATGATGAGAATTAGTCCGCATGAAGTTCCATAAATGCCCGCAACCTTCTTCACAATTCCCGGCTTCACCAATTAAAAATCTTCCATTCGCCAATGGCCAAAGCAACCGTCACATGTTTAATGACTTAAAGAACCAGGAATTTTGTATATTTTATAATTTATAATTCTAAAAGAAAATTATTTATTGTGTAGAGCAGGTTTTTTTAAAAAAATGTATACAAAGTTACAAACAAGAAATGCAGAACGAGGGGAGGAATTTTTTTTCAGGATTGGGTCAAAATGATTCTAAAAGGGCATGAAGATTGCTAACAGATTGGTAATAAATATGAGAATGGGACGCACCCACCATGTAAAGAATTGACGTGATACAGAAAATACAAATAATCGACATTATTAAATGGAGACAGGAATGCAAATGAAGACAGCGACGGGACAGATCACGCCGATCATGGAATCCACGAATTCTTGTTTGGACATAATCGTCCGAATCCTGTATTAGGAATAACGATAAAAAAGCGAGGTTAGAAAGGGAAAGCAGCAAAAAGAGTGAGTCAGAAGACATGCCGATTCTTTTCTTTGGTCAAAAATACTCGGATCTTCCCTTGCTTTTCTGAATGGACTTAAAAAGTGAATAATAATAATAGTTTATAAAAATTTTAAAGATGAACAATAGTAAACAGTTGCTATTTTTTTTTTTAAGGCCAGCTATTAAAAAAAAAAAAAAACAGGTGAAGTAACTTTACTGGAACAAGTGTATTGTCTACGAATTGCCATCATTGGTGGTTCCTCCAGCTGTGCACCAACTCACATCATGTTGACCATGCGCATGACTTCGCCTCGTTTACTGTCTCCGTAAAGTTTCTATTTGGAAAATTCACATTAGTACATTCATTCATCTTTTCTTTAAAAAAAAAAAACCATCAGACATTGAATTTAAACATTTAATTCAAGTTTATAAACTAAATTTTTCTAATGAATTTTATTTTTTACGATGAAAAAATGTTAGATCTTTTACTTTCAAGTATTTTAAAGTATGAATTTTTTTTAAAAATGTTTTCAATATGATGTCTTCAATTTTAAATTTTCTCCTTCACTAAGTTTCTGCCTTTGCGGATATCTCAAAATGCGTCCTGTCAAGACAAACCATTACTTGTTGCTCGCTCCATTTAATTAAGTAAAGCAATAATCTGAACAAGTGCAAACGTTAACATAGTTCCCGACTACTTCGCGTGGAGATTTGAGGACTCCGCTTACTTGAATCACTTTATTTCAACGACATTCTAATATGATGCACATTTTGTAGTTGAATAAACAATGGCCATTCAAGTATAAAAGTTATAGTAAATTACCTTTTCTCTCTCTGAAAATATTTAAATTACAAATTTGAAACCACCTTTTATTTTATTTTTTTTAAAAATGCATCTCCCTTGTTAAATTGAAATTCAAAAGCAGGACCAATCAATCCACCGAGAACTGTGGTTTTTTTTTTTACCTAGAACGTTGCTCCAAATAAAATAAAGGGGCGCTAGAGCCTGGAAATACGTTGAAGAGGACCGCTTGATTTGACGTGGCAGTCTTAAATTGGACCTGATGAAACTTGAAAAGGCCCAAAGCCCAATCTACATTTGCACCTGAGTCCTCCACAACATCTACTTAAAAAAAAAAAAAAGAAAGAAAGAAAGATTTTAACTTATCCCATTACAAGTAATTGCCCGTATGTCTATTTGGGCTCAAGTATTTTTGAATGGTCATGTGAAGGGAGTGGCCCAACTACATTTGGAAACGGCCCTTTTTTAACAAAAAGAAAAAAACAATATGGCAGCATTGTAATTTTTGGACATTTTCATTCTTCACACTTCATACAACTCAAACGAATCATCGTTAAGAATACTCCACGAACTAGTTTAAGGGATATTTTGTCAATTGTTTCATCGAATGGATAACATTGTCCTTCTAAATCATGCCTCGTGTTTTGATAGAGGGTGGGGATGTTTATAAACAGCAAACATGACCCAAATACTATAGATAAAAAATAAAAATCTATTATAATTAATGTCTTATTTATTTCTGACAATTGTATATTTGGAAAGCGCTACGTATCTAGTGAGATAACTTCCTTTTAAACAGTTGTTTATGAAACCTTTCAAGCAGTTTTTAATTCCTGCTTCTCTCAATAAACAATAAGAATATAGTTTTAGAAAGTGTAGCTTGAAGATATCTCTTACAAATGCTATAACAGATAGTGTCAATTATATATGATTTTCAATTCATATTTGTTTTTTTATTGTTATGATTTATGACAAAAATGTAAAAGTCTCGTATCTAAAAATTATAAGATATACCGTGTATATATAAGTTTAAGAAATATCTAACTAAATAATTTAAATTATTTTAATAAAGTATATTATTTTTAAGTATTATTTAATAAAAAAAATTTAATATATGCTTATACATTGAGTTAAGATGCAGTTATCATCCGTGGTTCGTGAAACGCATGGATTGATTATAGTTATGGATATTTGGCAAAAATAAAAAGACTATAGCAATGAATATAAACATGTATTCGGGTCAATTTGCCTTGTAAACACTGGCCGGCGAGAGTAAAGAAGAATCAAGCTAGGGGGGAAGAACGAGCAAATCAAAAAAGGACAAGTTGTGGGGCCGGCTAGTCTTTAAGGATCACGTTGAGTTGAGTTGACTAAATGCCACAGGTTACTCCTCTCTCTCCGAGAAAAATTTAATTGTTTTAAAACCCTAATTCTCTTGATGCCTAAATTATAATTTAATTGAGATTCGTATTAATCAATTTTATGAACCACTGAACAATTTTCACAAGCAAGGTTGATCCAATTAATCTAAGCTACAACTCACATCCTACACACCATTTCTCAATGCAAGTTAATTCTTGAAACGTTAATTAACTCATCACACTTCTTTTATTTTATGGCCTGGGATCGTAAAAAACTTATGAGTTCTATTACTACCCATGTTAATTAATCCGAATTTTTATTGTATGGAATTGTTATAATTAATACAACCTTAGACATACATTAAGAAAGGTTTGACATTTTAATTTAACACAATTGCATAATTTAAAATTTGAGCTTAAGATCCAAATATAAGATCGTTCAACTCCATCTAATAGTTGAACAAAGTGCAAATCATTTTATTCATTTCTAATCAAGTCAAGGACGAACGAAGAAGTTGGAACGGGAACAGAACGCGCCACATGTTCCCGTGGGGACCCGACAAGCTTTATTCATTATTCTAATAAAATAATACGAACTGTTATTGTTTTTTAGTTAGCTGTCAAAAGGGACTGAGAAACGAGAGAAAGAAAAGGAAATGAAAAAAACAAATGAAAAAAGCAGCTGAAAAAGGGTAATCAGCAGAATCAGCGTCTACTTGGACACCAATGAACCATCGTCGGCGACCAAAGCAATTGCACATGACACCCACACACTAAAGCACGCCCTCTTCTTTCTCTCTCAAATTCTAAGAATCTTCCTGTCCTCTTTGCCTTTTTCTTTTTCCAACCCTAGAAGTCTCATCACCCTTGACAATTACTTCCATTCGCATAAAATCGAATCAATGCAATATCCCTTGTCTTGATGAATATTTATGGACTTATTAATGTTATAATAATTACGGTATACTACTCCGAGTCCTCCTTCCATCAATCAAACGTCCAAAAAAGGGGGAAGGGGAGTTACCGTTCCTGACTTAACCCTCAAGTAATGGATTCTGTGTCTTTCTTTTGATATTTATTATGACTCTGCGTAGCGAACTGGTTGAACCACTCCCCTGTTTTCCACTTACGGCAACTAATGTTCTGCCAATGGCTAATCTCAATCTGGAGCTTGATTGCAAGACTATCCATGATTCCTTAGGAAGCTTGTGTCACTTGATTCCTTATCTTTCTCGGCTGACTCAATCTCAAAGACAACAACTCAGAAAGACCTACGAGGCAGTGTATGGCGAAGACTTGATAAGTCATCTTCGAAGTCATGAAGCGGAGGTTTTGTCCGTGAACTGCTCTGCTTTGTCCCTGTGGATGCTTAACCCACATGACAGGGATGCTACTTTAGCCAGAGAAGCCCTCCAGCAAGACGACACCAATTTCAAAGCTCTGGTGGAGATCTTCGTGGGTCGGAAATCAAGTCATATTCTTTTGATCAAACAAGCTTACCACAAAAGATTCAGAAGGCACTTGGACCAAGACATTATCAATTTGGACCCTCCTCATCCTTTTCAAAAGGCGAGTTCTTTTATCTTCCTTTCTTTTTTTCTAGTGCGCATTACTCAATCCGTGCCTTGTGGTTTTGGAGCTCGTAAGGTGTTTGTAGAATTAAAGATATAGGTCTGGTTAAAAGCAGATTCTTGTGGCATTGGCTGCATCACACGAAGCTCACCAAGCTGACGCTAGTCAGCATATATCCAAGTGTGACGCCAGGAGGCTCTATGAAACTGGAGAGGGAGGCTCAGGAGCAATAGATGAAGCAGTGGTGCTAGAAATTCTCAGCAAGAGGAGCATTCCTCAGTTGAAGCTGACATTTTTTAGTTATAAGCACATATATGGGCATGACTACACAAAGGTAATTGACAAACATGCCATTAACAATTAATCTCACTCCCCCTTCATCATATTTTTATCACATGTTGGATCTGATTTTTTTTTTTTTTTTGCCTCGCGCTACATCTATCCACTTTGTGTTTCAGTCACTCAGAAGGGGAAACAATCAGGAATTTGAAAAGGCTCTTATTCTGGTTGTGAAATGCATTTGCAATCCAGTAAACTACTATGCAAAGGTAGTCCCAAAATCCCATTTGATTAGCTTGATAGTGAGAAATTGATCATGTTAAAGCTCAGCGAAAAGAAGCTAGAATGGATTTATTTTTGCAGGCACTGTACAACAGCACCAAAGGGGCAACGATTGACGGGAACTTTGGCACGAACACTAATTTGCAGGGCTGAGATAGACATGGACGAGATCAAAAGGGTTTTCAAGCAAAAGTATGGGAAGGAACTTGGTGATGTAATTTATCAAAGCATTCCATCCGGAGACTTCAGAGACTTTCTGGTTGCTCTGGCCACAAGAACCAATCCTTCTACTCAATCAGCCCCGTCTACTTCTACATTCCATACCAGCAAAGCAAGTTGACGAAACAGCGCAGAAAAGATTAGCTTCCACATATGATCTCCTCGTGCTTGCAATAAAATGAACTGAAACTGAACTGGAAACATGTGTAGCTTCACAGCAATGGCGTATGTACCTCTATACCACAATGTGATAGTCCAAAAAGTGACCCTTGTAGTGCTGAAAACAAAGAAATAAAGGAACTGGAAAGGAACTTCTTTTCCTGTATCTTTCTGTCAGCATGTCGAAGCCATATCGGCTAGTGTTTTCATCATGAGGTAAAAAAGCCTGAAGGCTGACAAGAATATTGGTTACAGGTCTGAACTTACAACACGCCACCGGACCACAAAGCAATAAATAGAACATGTAGTCCCGGTGTCACTGTTTCAAACATGATGAAACTAATTTTGTTTTTATTTATTGTTGGCTGCAAAGAAGAAAAAGGCAACGAATGAATGGCCCGAAATGTAGAGAGTTGGTCAGTACGTAATCATGCTAAAATATTCACTTCTTTGTTTGTTCTCACGCTCTGATTGTCTCTTTCCACGTACCGCAAGACTTTTTATATTGGAGAGCACACTCTGATTCAACTAATGCAATAGGGATATGAATATGATGTTATTGCTTCACTGCGTCAGAAGCTATTAGAAGAAAACATGAGATCCAAATGGCAAGCAAGCCCCTAAAGAGCACAGGAAAGTAGGAAGTACATTCAAAGAAACCCATTTAATATTGGGTGACCAATGAGATCAGAAAGAAAACGTAAATCAGAACTAATTGAGTAGGAAGCTAATTATTCCAACAGGATTAAGGGATTTTGGTTACAGATCGATGCTTATTTTTGAGACTTGTACTGACCCTAAGAAGTGGGATATTCAAGGATTGATGAAGCTGTGAAAAATCTAGACATCTTCCTTCAAATTTCATAATGTCGTGACTTGATGATTCCCACTAAGTGGTCACGGACAAGTCTTTGTTCCATGAGTCTTCACGTAGTCTTCACGTGATGTCTGTAAGTGGCAAATAATGTTTCCAATGGAAATAATGGTACATACAAAGATCCACTCATTTTCCGTTCACTCTTTTGCCCCCTCCAATCACACATGATCCAAATTCTCTTTATCTTGGTTTATTAATTATAAAAGCCAAATAATTTTGAGAAAATACATCGACAGGCGAACACAGGTTAGTTAACCCTCTGATTTTTCCTCTGTCCGAAGCACAGTAGTTCTCTGTATTTTCTTTTCATACGTATGAATAGAAGCATGAAATAAGAAATAAACATATAAAGAAATAACTATGTATGTATGTATATCAACCAACAGTCAAATAATAAGAACAACCAAGAGGAACTATGCTTGAAAAAAGAAAAGAACAAACACACACACTGAATAATAAGAAAGAGAAGCGCACAGTGGCGCTCGTATTATTCTGTTGAAAAATGAAGGGATGAAGAAGGTGGGATTCATTAAAGTGTGAAGGATAGCGTCCGACGAAGCTGGTGGCAGTGGCAAGCATGGCCGCGACGAAAAGCAGAGAGGCAGAGGAAGAAGGCATGGCGTTGAGGGCAAGCTTCATGCCAAGATCACGACAGTGATTCGGAAAACCACAAACATACCACTTGTTGCCAGGCGTGGCAAGTGGAATCACGTGATGTCCTGAGCTGAGTCCTTGGTTTGCATCTGGGATTGCGCAGTCCTGGAACTCTGTCCCGTTCACTTTGAACACATTGTGCTTCGTGTTGTTATAATTGAACACTGCCACAACAGAGTCCCATTTCAATCCCACAAGTTAGTTTCAACTCTGTTTCATTCACACAGCCACAGTAGCAAGAAAAGTAAAAATATCCATACCGAGCTTGCGGCCAACGACAAAAATTTTATCCTTGGCCCACTCGGAGTAGTTGAAGTTGGCGTTACAGCCCTTGTTGTCGCCTACAACGTGTCGGTAGCCATCACGACTGAGAAAAGCAAACCCAGGGAAATGGCCAGCAAGGAAACACCAGCAGCAGAAAAAGAAGCCATTTGAGCAGCAAGTATGAGGATCAAATGTTGGGTCACAGCTACATTATTTGATTTGGGTTGGGGTAATATATATATATATATATATAGTGGATTTCATTCCATAACTGTCCCGCCGAAGGTCGGCTTCTTACGATAATTACTAATATTATAATCTATAACATTGATATACACGTAATAAGAGTGAATTGAAGGGGTCAAGATAAAACAAAGAGAGTGTGGAAAGAATCGAATAATTTCATTAAGTTAGGGTAAATGCCGCTGCATATAGAAGCAACAGAAAGAGAAGAAGAGGAATAAAACAAGGGAATTGAACTAAGGAGACGAGGGAACCGAATAATATTCCTTCAGGGCCTGCCCTTTTCCTCTGCTCTGTCTAATTCCCTCCCTTGCAAGCGCCCATGTACGATGTGTTTCTTTTAAGATTATGATATGAGTTTAGTAATCGTCGGTTAAGGCGAAAAAATCATCGAGTGAGTGAGAATATGATACGTCTCGATTGGAAGAATATGCTGAATGTTGATGCTGCTAAAATGAATTTCAATCTTCTTCTATTTTTAATTCATCATTATATATATCTCAACTTTTAAAATGAAATCTTAACACATCAATTACAATACATCCGCGGATGACATCCAGGCTCTCATTATGATTATGTTTCGGGAACTTGTTGGGGAGTAGCTTTTAGCTTCTTGTTGAGATGGTAAAGATAAAACGTTATTGCTTCAAGTCAATAGTCAACGCTACTTGCCATGTAGAAGATGAAAGATAAGACTAGCGAAGCTGCATTCCAAGGACATATTTTGTTCTATTCTATTTTCCATTTTTAAATATTGTTTTTCAATGCAGTTTTTCAAAATGTTTTTTAAAACAAAATAAAAAAATAGGTTTGGTTGTAATTTAAAAATAATTTTAGAATTAAAAAATTGATCTATAATAATGATCACCAACAGTTAATACTGGTGATTTGTGATAATTATTTGGTTAAGATAATTGTAATTTTTAACAATCAAATGTAATATATTTCGAAACAAAAATAAAATGAAATGAAACAAGTTTAAAATGTTTCTATTTTTCTTAAACAAAAATGACAACAATTCTAGAAATAATTAAGTTCAAAAACACTCCTTTGAACAAGTTTTTTTTTAAAAAATAAAAAATATTTTTAAAAATAAAGACCAAACAAGCTCTTGTTCTTTCCAAAATAGACCTCTGTATCAACCAACTTCTTCTATAAATATTTTACTATAGTATATGTTTAAAAGTATCTAAAACCTTAAACTTAATTTTGATATAATGTTATTTTTTAATTTTTAAAAATAGTATAATAGTACTCCCATTGTTAATAAAAATTGACTTTAATAATTACTTGACTGCAACATTATATAAAATGATATCAACATTTACAGAAAATAATAAAAATACAAAAAAGAAATTAAAAATTTCTGACAATAACCCAAGAAATTATGAAAAAAATGATCTAGAAACTTTTAAGTTATTTTTTTGCAATTATTTTATCAATTAACGATTAAAATTAATATTTGTTACTGGCAGAAGTAACATTGCATCATGTTAAAATGTTAAAAGAAACATTGTACTAAAATATAGTTTAAGATGCCTCAGATTTTTGAACTTATAATTTAGGATGAATTTACTCTTTTAAACGTTAATTAGAATCTAATTTTGTTCCAATTTCGTGGAATTTTTTGCACCTCGAAAGAGGAATAACAAACTCAAACTTGGAAATAGTAAAACTATTTAAAAAAAAATTCCCATAGAAATTAAAGCTTGTAGACACTGAAATCCGTGAGAACAATTAAAATAGGCCTACCGGGCCGAGCATCAACGAATCGGGCTATTCGCACTAGGCACCTCCAGTGCAGCCTGCAAAATCCAAAGCCTGCTTCTCTTTATGATATTGAACAACAATTGAGTATTAAGCGTGCCTTTTCCATGAGTTTGCCCTGCGTATTTGAATTTCCATGAAATTTAGTAATTTACCTTTAAAAGAAAGGGAGGAGATATTTCATATTTTATAAACAAGTAATAAAATGATAAAAAATACTAAAACAATAAAACTTCATAGAAATTCACATATCTCCAAACTATTTAAATCCCTGTCTAGCACTGTATTTCTACTAAATACCTATTCTTTGTTAATAAAAATTAGTTCAATTAATAAGAATTTATTTCATAATTTATAGGATTATGAATTTAAATTTCACCATTGATGTAAAAATCTCATTGATGAATAATATAAGTACATATCTAAATATTCTTTTAAGTCTAGAGACATGGCTTAATCCTAATAAGCCCCTTTAGAATTCAACCCTTAATTTTTTTTTTTAATAACAGCTATACTTATCTTTTATTTTTTAACAGAATAGCCATTGATTCTGTTCATGTGGAAGACTATTTATTTTAAATAAACTACTTAATTTCTTGAAAAAAGTTGAAAAACTAAATATGGTCCTGTATGTGTGTATGCATGAAATTTAATTTGATAAACTCTCTCTTCAATACTTCAAAAATAATATACACTCTTTACAATGCATGAATAATGTTTTATATTTTTTATGTATTTGTGCAGAGAATCAATGTATCTGGTTTTATACCATAAAACTAGAGTCGAAAATTCGGGCGGGCCGGGCCTATTCGGGCCAAGCTCCAATAGGCCTGACCCGAATAAGCCTAAACCTGAATATACTGCTATTCTTATAAGCTCGAATTAACAAGCCCGGCCTAAATTATTTCGGGTTTCAGGCTAGCTCGAATACCCGTTTGATATAATTTTTTCTTTGGGGCAATGTTGATGATTTTTTCCTCACTTAATTGCATCAAAATAATAATTCAATATGCATTCATTGATACTATTTTTTTTAACCATCTAAACTAACAAAGCAAGAGCAAGATCATCATACAAGTTTAACATCCAAAATAAATAATCCAACAAAATAACAACACATTCAACATGACATTATAGTTAAAACATAACAATAATCAACAATACAAATAAAAGTCAAGCTAAATCCAAATCTTGTGGCTCTTCCTGTTCCTCATCATAATCCAAAACTACATTTGCACTCTTAATGGCAGACAAATCCATATTTAGATTTGGTCCAAGTGATTCCTCCTCTTCCTCTCCCTCCTCCTCCCCCTCCCCCTCTTCCTCTTCCACTACCTCTTCTCCCTCAATCCTTTCTTTCTCTTCACTATCTGCAACAAGACAACAATGAAAATTTTTTTCAATTATAATTGAATGAAATCGAATTTTACTTAATAATTATATAACAAAATAATCATATATTTTAAATTTATATTACCATCATATTGAAAACCACTTAACCAATTACGAGTGCAAATAAGAGCTTGAAAATTAGAAGGAAGAAGACTGCTCTGATATTTGGTGAGAACACGTGAGCCAATGCTAAAAGCCGATTCACTTGCCATTGTAGTGATAGGAACGCTAAGGATATTGGCTGCCATCTTTGAAAGGATAGAAAATCTACCCTCATTAGTGTTCCATCAATTGAGAACATCTAAATCTTGATATGCCTGGGGTTGAAGTATTGCCTCATCCAAATAAAATTCAAGCTCAGACTTTCCAATAGATATAACATCCATGCTTGTATAATTAATCCAATCCTACAACATGTAAAAATTTAATAAAATACCAACTAATAAATTAAAATAAAACAATATATTTAATAATAACATGAAATTAAACTTACACCTAAAACTCCTAGAATATTGCTACTCATGGTTGAAGCTGAAACACTAGAAGTCGTAGAGGATTGAGCTTGATTTGCTTGTATTAGAATTGTTGAACTTGATCTAAGATATGAGGAAAGAGCATCCATCTCTTTGTATTGATTAAAAATATATCTCAACTTGCTTTGAATGCTCCCAATCTTGGCAGGGCAATTTATAGGATCAATCCTTGCATACATGTACTGTATCATTTAAATCTTCATTCGTAGATCAAGCACAGCTGCAATTGCAAGGATAGTACTATAATCATTCTAATACTTGTCAAATTTTTTTCAATCTTTGGGCCATTTCTTGCATCACGGGATCACCATTTACCATATTATCACCTAACAAGATCTGAATCTTTGATACTCGAGCGAAATACAAGTTCGAAGTGGGATAAGATGTCCCAGACATCAACCTTGTCATCACATTAAATGGCCTCAAGAAATTACACATCTCTTCTCCTCTCCTCCACTCTTCATATGTTGGGCAATGAGTAAAATTATTATCAACACATGCAAAGCTAGTAAAAGCTCGATGATATTGTAATCCACTCTCAAGCATTGCAAAAGTAGAATTCCATCTACTAGGCACATCCATCCTTAAGCCAATTGAACTATCAATGCGACCAACCTGTTCAACACATTTTTTAAAAGCAATTACCCTTACCTCTGATTGTTTGACATACTTAATGCTATCTCTAATCTTGTTTAGAGTAGCACTTGTCACTTTTAAGCCCTCTTGAATTATTAAATTTAAGATATGGGCATAACACCTTTGATGAAAAAATTCTCCATTACAAATCAACCTATTATCTTGCAAAGCTAACCTTTGTTTCAAAATTTCTTGCATATTATCATTTACAGAGGCATTATCTAAAGTGATAGAAAATACTTTCTTAGTAATCCCCCAATCAATCAAACAATCATAAACTTTTTTAGCTAATTCTTTTTCGGAATGTGGAGGCTCCATCTTACAAAAAGAAAGTATTTTACTATTCAATCTCTAATTTTCATTAACAAAATGAGCAGTCAAGCATAAATAACCTTCAGAGGTTATAGCAGTCCAACAATCAGATGTTAAACAAATTCTACCAACACTTTTCAACAATCTTTGCTTCAATACCTCTTTATGTCCTTAATAGACTTTTGTAACATCAGACACAACTGTTTTTCGAGTAATGCACTTTATACTAGGATTCAACGTAAAAGAATAATACTTGAACCATTTATATTCAACCATGAAATAAGGCAAATCATGTTCAATTATCATCATAGATAAAACCTCTCGCACATGCTTATCATTAAGCTTCCTAGACCTCAATTTTCCTTCTTTGTCTATCATCATCACTCTAATATCATGATACTTAGTAAGTTGGGGACAATTTTTAACATGTCATACTAAATGAGATGTGCCATAAGCCCCAGATCCTGCTAGGTCTTTATTACAACCATTACAGATGGCTTTTACTTTCCCATCAACTATAATTCTAGAAAATGACTTTCAAACATCAGATGTACAGGTTTTTGATTTTTTTAGCAACAGGTGGCTTCACTTCTTTCTCAGAACTTGTTCTTTTACTAGAATTACCAGAACCAACAGACTTCTTATTTGCAGAGGCACTTACTTGCTGAGGTAGCTAATTTAATTGCAGAGGCAAGTAATTTTTTCTCATTAATTTTTTGAGAGGGAAAAATATCAACTACTTTACCCTTGCCACGCACATTATCATCTACCTTACTACTAGAACTACCACACACATTTTCATTATTTTTCTTCCTTTGGCTAAAAGACATGTTTCACTGCATAAAATTGAAAATTAAACATTAATTTAACATACTATGCATTTATGCCTTCATTAAAAGTTAACACAACCAGAGGCAATCTCAAATAGCTTAAAATATTCAATTTCACATAACAACACAACCATTAAAATTCATGCAAAGCCACAAAGGTAGTCTCAGATAGCTTAAAAATAAACTTAACCAAACACAACCAGAGGCAAACTCAAAGGAAAAGCTAGCTAAAAAACAACCTTAAGCAAGAACAGCAAGAACAGGAACTTTAAACAACTCAGAGGCAGACTCAGATCAAAACAGAGCATAATAGTACGCATGAGAGAAAAAGAAAGAAGAAGAGGAAGAAAACCTTGCTAGTGGGTTTTGCTGTTTTGGTTTGGACAATTTGACGGAGCTTGTTATGCTAGGGGGTTTTGGTCTGGACGAAGCTCGTTTTGCCAGTGGGTTTTAATCTTTCTAGTCCGGAGTCTGGATGAAGCTTGAGTGTGAGACAATGAGAGATTACGAGCGATTGTGTAGTCTAAGAGAGATTGAGAGTGAGACTACGCGAGTAGGCCGACGAAGTCCAATGAGGAATAGGAATGCCAATGATTGCCTTCTGCCGATGGGTCTGTTAGCAAGTAGTGATTCAGGTAGTTTAGTAACGTGAGGAGAACTGGAGAAGTAAGATAATGATTCAGTGAAGATGCTTACTGGATCTGAAGATTCAGAACGTGCTCCGACTTTGATCAATCGATGGCTCGATGGTTTGAAACTTCAATATGAAGAGTGAAGATTCTTTAGGGTTTTCTTATCTCTCGAGTCTCGCCATCTCGCCTCTCACTCTCAAATTTTTGGTAATCTGATTCAATCTCAACCAGTCAGCGGACTCCAAACCTCAACCCTCACCTCGCTCGCTCACTTATTTCCTAATTCTTGGTGCCAGCGTGTCTTCCTGTGTAGCAGGCAGCTGGCTCCATTTAAAAAAAAAATAATGACAAAACGGGTATTCGGGCTTATTCGAGTAGCCCGAATAGGCTCGAAGTATCAGTTTTTTTTTAAAATATTAAGCTCGGCCCTAATTTTTTTTCGGCTTATTCGGGCTAGCCAGTGCTTTACATAAAACTCTATCTTCTTTAGATTTTGAGGACTACGAGATGTAAAATATATTGGTAAGGTCGAAAGAAAATATGAATGATTTTAAAGAACCATTAATTATTATACCTGTAACTTAATGAGTTTTGTAGGTCAAGTCACATGAGTTCTAACGACATAAAAAATGATGAATATATCCTCATCTCCTATTTGCACTAACAACTTAGCATCATTTTCTATTGAAATAGTTATAATCATCTTTAAATGATCAGCAGGAAATGGTCTGGAGTGTATAGTAACATTAGTCATCATACACAGATCCGAGTACCACAACTTGAGAAATGCCAAATCTGACTTCTCTAACTTAACTAGAGACTTGATATAATGAGGCCAAACGCAATGAGACTAAGAGGAACGAGAGGTGGCAGTAGTGTAAGCTTATCAGCGAGGCGGCGAGCAGCTTAAGCAACAGTGACGGAAGGGGTCTGGTGCAGCGGTGAGCAATGAAGCTTATTGGCGAGCAGTGAATCTTATCTTTGATCTGCAATTTGGCGATGGGTAGGCATGAGATTCAATGTTCAGATTGGTGAATAGCGCAAAGCAACAAACGACGTGAGGTGGTGAATGACAATCGACAAATCGGGACTGTGAGAGCAGGTTGTGTGTTACTTGAGACTATGAGAGCAAAAATTGAAAGTGAAAAGTCAATAGGTTAACCTCCTTATATTTGGTATACTGCAATGCAAAGAAGTTAAAATTTTTTTTAAGCTTTCAGAGAGCTCAAATGTTAAGCACTCCGAAAGCTCAAGATTTAGGAGCACTCGGATGTTGAGCGCTCTAAAATTATTCACATTAACCATTTTAGAGTGCTTAGTTTTGAAATAGTTGAATTTTAGGAGCACTCACACAGTGAGCGGTGAGCGCTCCTAAAGTTCATTTTTTTTTAATTTTTTAAATAGTATTATTATTTTGAAGTACTATGAAATATTCATTAGTTTTTTTTATTTTTTAATATAACATTTAGGAGCCCTCGTTGAAAGAGCGCTCCTAAATGTTTACTATTCAGGAGCGCTCTTTCAAAGAGCACTTTCAAGGATAAGATTTTTTTTTTTTTTACATTTTGATATTTAATTTCGAAACACTATTGATAACGAGTACTTCTAAATATTGTCATACAATAGCGCTCTTTTAATTAAGCGTTTTGGTAGGTTTCGCCTCTATTATTAGAAGCGCTTTTTAAAAGAGCACTTCAAAAAACACATTTTAAAAGATATTTTTTTATAGTACAGACTAATTTAAGAATTAACCAAGCTCTTTAGTCATCACCTAACAAAGATTTCTTGTATTACTTTCAATTCTGCGAATTCATTGACTAAACACGGTGCGTTGTTAACGCTTAATCAGAAAAATTTATTGATTAGCTGATCACAGATTCAACCCCAAGTAGCAAATAGATTGGTGCTAGAGGGAAAAATTTATACGTACTTACACAGATGCTAACATTTTAACCGTCAAACAATTTGATATGATAAGAAGCATTTTCGTCGGAGAGACGCTTCTTGAAACAACAAATCACAAAGGAATTCCGCACACCATTTCCGATACAGAATTCAAAGTAACGATCGCTGAGATTCGTATCAGAGCAGATTATCAATTGAATACTAGCATTTTTATTGAATAACACAGTGAATAAAAAGAGATTACATTCGTCAATAACTTCGGAAAAGAACATAGAAACACATATAACGATGAATAGCCATTTTGTCAACCCACAGACATGCGTGGAATTAATGTACTGTGGGGATTAGTGTTGGAACAGTGCAATTAACTTCCTGGGCAGCCATCGATATTTGGCACTTAAAGGTGAAGAAGAAGCAGATGATAAAGACGACGACTGTGGAGACGGAGAAGGAGACGGAGGAACTGTTATGGGCAACACAGATGATACCGGTGACGGAGATGGAGCTTGTGTTTGAGAAGGCAACACATTTATGAAGAGCTTTTGGCCATTCTCGCAGTGAGCTGCAACCCCACACAAGTACCATTTCCTGCCTGGACTTTCCAACACAATCACATCGTCTCCTGAAGTTAATCCCTGAGATGCTGGAGGGACCGTGCAGTTCCTGAAGTCTGTTCCGTTCACTTTGAACACATTGTGCTTTCCAGCGGGGTACTTGAATACTGCAATATAATATTGCTCACATCGAGAGATCGGTGATTAAGTAAATAGAACAAAGAAGATTATCAAGTACTGGTAACGAGGAGCTTACTGAGTTTGTCTCCTACGTGGAAGACCTTGTCTGAAGCCCAGGCCTGGTAATCGAAGTGGATTGTCCAGCCATGGTCATCTCCGACGGTGAATTCTTTAGCCAAGGAGGTGGCTGAGAAGAAGGTAGTAGCGAGAACAACAAGGATGAGAGCACGAGGGAGAGGCATGCTTCTGTAACTATGGCTACTTGATTGATCAATTAATTAGCTCTATGATCGGTTGTTCTTTGGGAGTTATGAGAGTTTATTGAGAGTGTGATCAAATTTATAGCTTTCAAGAGGCTGAGTGCGAGTGTTGCTTTCGAGAGTGATCTTGATGGTGACGCGGACGACCAAGGACGGCTTTGCCGAATAAGAATGCTTCCGACCGTCGAATCTTAAGTAGGCTTAATGCAAACGTTTCTTATATAAACACGGTTTGGGGTACCAGGTTTGATTGGCTTAGGGAAAACGGTTTAATATTATTTTGAACTTGGCATCTCAAGTCTCTAACTTAGATCAATCCAGTGGGTAATTTGAGGGTATTTCTTTAAAGCATGTCTCCCGTCAAGAATTCATCACAACTACGTACAATCAAAATTTAAATATCACATTTCTAGTTAAGCTTGATCAACTTCTTGCTAGTTGATCCATCTAAAAATTTTATATCAACAAGGATTGGGCACATAGTTTTTCTTAAAAAAAAAAAAAGAAAGAAAAAATAAAATTGCTGTCATTGCTCATTACAAGGCTTCGATTCAATCAAAAAGGATTGAGAAACTTCATTCAAAATTTATCCAAATACTCAATCAATAGATTTTTTTTTTTTGGGTAGAAAAAAGTTTATTAAAATTGAGTTTCAGAAGCTCAACGGGATTGAAGCATGCTCTCTCAATAAGCACTTAATAAGGTACTTATAAATTACTAACAAACTCTTCGTATTACCGGTGAACTTTAAACTTAAGATTTTATGGATTATTGATCAAATTCTGACCCACTAGGGTAATTTTTGTTGGTGGTGTGCATTAATTACAAGTTTACAACTGATATTAACTGAGCATGATTTCCACTACGCTATCGGGCCTGGGCTTTAGGCCCACAATACACTCAGTGCACTTAACCTGATATGCTAACAGTCATTATTTTAGTTTATATTCAATTACAGTAATGTGCGCGCGCTCTTATCTGTAAAGTTACATTTACTTATTCGGTTAAGATGTCCGCAATGGGATGTTGCAGGCCTATGTGAAAAACTCGATTACAAGTAGTACATGTTATTGCTTAAAGCTGGCGATCATATTATTACCTGTACTTTCCATTGCCATAAAAGAAAAACCTCTCTTTGATTTATACCATCGAATTTTAATTTGATATAGATCCAAATCATCTTTCAGTAAATTTGTATAAGATTCAAAAATAATTTTATTTAAGCTTGATATGTATAGGTCCTTCAAAAAACATTAAGCTAATAGTACTTGTTTTTGTTGGAAAATTATGTTTTTAGTTTAACGGATGTTTTTTAACACATCCATCAAATGAACTAATTATAGCCCTGTTTTTAGTTTGACAGACTACAATTTTCTTTACTGGGAGAAGGCCGCCTAAACTAATCCTTTTTTTCCCCTTACGCTCTTAAAATGCAACAAAAGTAAATGAACTCAGATTTTATCACAATAACAGAGGAAGAGGCATCAACTTTCTTAATACATCCGTGGGGAAAAATCCATCAAAATACAGTAAGAATTAATGGTATATGTCGCAACTCGTATTACCATGAAACCAAATCAACTCTTGAAATTACAAAACAGAAGGTATTATTAGAGTATTATTAATGCACTAGCAGCTGGCCAGAGAAGGACCTTCCTCCAAGAAACATGCTAAAACAGCCCCAAGTAATTAATCAGGGTTGAAACATTGCAATTAGCTTCCTAGGAACCCATCTATATTTGGAAAGTACAGGCGAAGAAGAAGGAGAAGACCATGGAGCTGGAGATGGAGATCGAGGCACAGTCACAGGCAACACAGATGACAAAGGTGAAGGAGATGGAGCCTGTGTTTCAGAAGGCAAAACATTCACGAAAAGCTTTTGCCCATTTTGACAGTGATCACCAACCCCACATAAGTACCACTTTCTTCCTGGAGTTTCCAGCACAATCACATCCTCTCCTGAAGTTAATCCCTGAGATGCTGCAGGAACAGTGCAGTTCCTGAAGTCTGTTCCGTTCACTTTGAACACATTGTGCTCTCCAGTAGAATACTCGAATACTGCAATATTTGCGCAGAGGTAAAAATAAAAACTCAGTTTCTATTCCATCTTCGCGTGTAGAAGCAAACGTACTTGGCAAAAACAGAGATTGTGAATTGACGAACTTACTGAGTTTGTCCCCGACGTGGAAGACCTTGTTTGCAGCCCAGGTTTGGTAATCGAACCCCACTGTCCAACCCTTTCCGTCTCCAACTATGAAGTCTGTTGCCATGGAAATGGTTGGAAAGATGGTAGCAGTAAGGAGAGCTACGATGAGGGCACGAGAAAGAGCCATGCTTGATGATATTTTTCTATGTAATTCGATTGCGTTATCAGTGTTTGAGTTTGCAGTGTTGAGAATTTGATCAGATTTATAGGAATTCTAGGGGAAAGAAAGTGTTGCTGTGGAGGCACATGTGATTGTGACACAGACGACTAAGGACGGCTCGGCCGGATCAGAATTATTCAAGATCTAGTGAATCTTTAGCCTTGTGCCAATGAAGATTAAAGACGGCAATGGAGTTTGATTTGAGGTAAAATAAATGGTAAAAAATGTTAAAGAACTTAAGATTGCATTTTCCTTCTGTGATTTAAAAAAATGGGATTCTTCTCTCCCTTAGTTGATAGTTGGTACGTTGGTGCATTCCGATAGAGCAGAATACTAAAATCTTGAATAATCAAGAGGAACTCTTTATTTGCTGAGGTCTAAAATAGTTCGTTTGTTTCCTTTGTGGTGCTGGAGAGGGTATTCAATGGGACTGAATAATTGTATCGCAGGAATGTCCTATCGGAGAAAAAGGGATTTGCTTATTTATTTGCTCAAGAATAGAGCGGATAATATGGATCGTCTTATATAGATATCGAATTGATTTAAATAATTTGTCATAAATGTCGGGTTGATTTAAAAAAAAAGAATGACTCATATAAAAATAAATATTTTTTGTCTGAACTAGATAATCTGTAAATTAAATGTGTACCTTAATGAGTTAGGGTTAACCTATTTTAACCTATATTATTTTTAAAAAACAAAAAACAAAAAATAGTTTTAACACCAAAGCCCCAGAAGACAAACAGAATAGAAATGATCATTATAGAATCGATCAATCTCATACTTTTATAATGTAGATGTTGTTTTTAGTTGCTTAGAATATCATGTTAGAATTTCTGGTTTAGGTGTAATTTTAAAAAAATCATGCAAAAAATAAATAAATGGATTGATGAGTTGGCTCATCTAACCTACCAATTTACAAGAGTTGGGTTGAATTTAAAATTTTTCTTATACATAAAAATAAATCAAACACAATCTAACCCATATTCTTTGCAACCTATATGAACTGTATGTTCATACTTACTTGAGGGACTCTTTTTCCTAAATCAACCCGAGATTGTTTTGCCTGGTAGGTTTTGAGTCGAAGTTCCTTTGGGGATTTAGATTTCCTTTGAATTTAGTTATCCATGGGAAAACAGATTTCCCTTCACTTGTCTACAGGAAATCCTACATAAATATTTTAGCGTCGGTAGGTTTTTTTTTCATAACATTAAATTTATAACAAGTAATATTTTTTTTATAATTCAAACAAGACATATAATTTATATGGAAAACATGTATAGCTCACTCGATTATGCCGCTGTGCATAATAATGGTTTAATAGATTATCCCCCAGGACATATAGCATAATAATAGTGAAACGGCTTGCAAAGAGAACGGTAAACCTAGACCATACACATTTTACTGGCGAAGTAGTTTAAAAATAGGATTTGGATGGTTCTCTCACATTGTAAAGCACAGGAGTGTGACGTTCAAACAGAGACTAACATGATATCGGATGATTAGTATGCTGATGCATTTAAGGAGGAAAGCAAGTCTCAAACATCATCATTTCCTGGCACTCGGCCACGAGGAGAACTGGAGAAGAAGCCTGTGGTATCTGCTAACCTCATTTACACATTAACGAACAAACATTAGTTCATAGACCGACGCTGCTAATTTATTTTATTTTACCTTTGATCCATCATCCTTACACTCCTTCCCATTCGGCTTATATAAATAATGAAATGGCTTCTCCCAAGTCGCAATAGGGGCCAAGTCTAGAGGTAACGATTGTCAGGACTCGGAAAATTCCTCGTGGAATAAGTAAGTGATCTAAAGTCCATGTTTTTGAGATTTAAAATGTTTCGTTTTCAAAAAGGCTGTTAAACGTGTTGTCTTACGAGATAACAGTTTCAGCAGGCATCATTGTTCTATCATTTTTATTTTTTGGCTAGTAATATAATTAGCTTTTTTAATATCAATATATTTAGTTTTTAGACGAGTCAAGATATACGCGGTTATTACCGCGAAACTGGTAAATTGCAATTCAATAAGAATTGAGGCCATTGGCCAAGCAACAAAAAATATAAAATATTTCGAGAACACGAACCCGGAGGCGAAGAAGCGCATACTAAACACCTAAATATTCATCACACGGTTATTGCAACAACACGTATAAATTTCCCCCGTTCTTTACTTCTTGTACTCCTTTTCTTTTTCTTTAGATGAAGCAGAACCGGTGTACCTAGGGACATTCTGCTCTCTTTATGCCATTCACTTGGCAGAGGCGAGTTCATTGCGGATGACTTTGGCGGCAACAACCATGTTGGTAAGGGCTGGCTTCACCTCAGCGTACTTGCGAGTCTTGAGCCCACAATCAGGGTTGACCCACAAGATGTTCTTCTCCAGCACTGCGAGCATCTTGTTGATCCTATCCGCAATTTCCTCCGTTGGTGGAATCCTGGGAGAGTGAATGTCATACACACCAGGGCCAATTCCGGCACCGTATTTCACTCCTTCGCGGAACACTGAGAGAAGCTTCTCATCGGAACGAGAGTTCTCAATGGTGATCACATCAGCATCCATGTCAATAATTGAGTGGATGATGTCGTTGAAGTGGGAGTAGCACATGTGGGTGTGGATCTGCGTTCCATTGTTCACATTAGAATCATGCAGCTTACAAGATGAAGATGTGAAGAGGAAACAGATTGTAACTCGTTTATATCTGATCGGCAAAATACCTGAGTAGTGTCCTTCACACCAACGTTGGTGATCCTGAAGGAGTGGACAGCCCAGTCCAAGTAGTGAGCTTGCTCCGACTTCCTCAGAGGCAATCCCTCTCTCAAAGCAGCCTCGTCAATTTGGATCACGCTGATGCCGGCCTTCTCAAGATCTTCTACTTCCTCCTTAATAGCCAAGGCAATCTGATAGGTAGTCTCAGATCTGCAAATAAATTTACGTATCATGTCAGCCATCTAACTATAAATTAATTACAAGATGACAAGTCTTTTTCTTTTTCATTTCCCCACAACATCTTATAACAGGTCTCGCGTTTGTACCTGGGCTGGTCGTTTCTAACAAAGGACCAGTTCAGAATGGTGACAGGACCAGTAAGCATTCCCTTCATTGGGCGCTTGGTCATGCTCTGAGCCATAGATGACCAGACCACGGTCATAGCTTTTGGGCGGCTCACATCACCATAGATGATTGGTGGCTTCACGCAACGAGATCCGTAAGACTGCACCCACCCATTAACAGTGAAGGCAAAGCCAGCCAACTGCTCGCCAAAGTACTCAACCATATCGTTTCTCTGCATTCAAAGGCATTTGAATTAGGGGAAGTGAATCACTTTATCTTCACTTGGTGCATTGATTTCTTGTCAATATGTGAAAGTAAGAGCTAACCTCTGGTTCCCCATGTACCAGGACATCAATATCAAGCTCTTCTTGAAGTTCAACAACTTTGCGGATTTCTTCTCTAATGAACTTAACATACTCTTCCTCGGAGATCCTGAAGAAATAAAAATTAGGATAATTAAATGACAGACATGTGATGAAGAAAGCAGGGCAGGGCCACCCCCCTCAAAGGCCAGAGATTAAATGAAATGGCTTCTCACTTGTTAGCCTTGTATTCTCGGCGTACCCTCCTCAGCTCTACAGTCTGAGGGAAGGAGCCAATAGTAGTGGTTGGGAGGATTGGAAGGTTAAGCTTCTTTTGTTGAGCATCCAGCCTGGCACTAACATTAGTGGCACGGCGGTGTTCAGAACCCTTCAATGAAGCAACCTGACAAGGCAAGTAAAGAGTCGTTAGAAGGAGCAGACTAATTACTTCCAATGAAACCAGATGAACCCAGCTGGGGCAAAAAGGAAAACTCACAGCCTTCTGAACGGCCTCATTGGTCACTCTTGGAGAGGACTTCCTTGAAGCCAGAGCTGCTGCATTAGCAGAGAAGAAGGCCTGAAAATGGAATCAGAAGAAGAGTTATTCAGGAAATGGGATAACGAAACAAACAGGAATAACACAATACTAAGATCTAAATCAAAGCTCCTAAGAAGAATTTTCATCATCACATTTCCAGTCGAGTGATAATGTCATTTGACAATAAAACTCTAACAACATTTCCAACTTCATACTCAAGCAAAGACAAGGAGGAACTTAATATCTAGTTTTTATCAAGTTCATACTAAAACTGAAAGAATTGAAGCTACCTCATCTTTTCCACCAGACAGTGCCTTGGCCAATGCATTAACTTCAACAATTTTCTGGGCAGCAAAGGCTAGCCATGACTTGATCTCATCATCAAGCTTGGTCTCATTTACAAGATCAACAGCAGTGTGAAGAAGCGAGCAGGAGGTGGACACAACAAGTTTGTCTGCATAAGATTCAGGGAAAAGATATATCAGGATACGATATTGGACATACGCCATCTTATTCCATGAATACATTTAATAATAACCTTTGCCAACAATGCCCTCAAGATCATGTAGTAAACTTAGAGAAGCAGCAAGATCATTAGCCCAGATGTTCCTTCCATCAACCACTCCAGCAAAGAGGTACTTTCCGCTGGGGAACCCAGCCTTGATCAAATTAAGGGTCTGAGTTCCACGGACAAGATCTAATCCATAAGCTGTGACACCCTTGAGAGAAGTGAGGGTCTTGTAAGCATCGGCAGGGATATCAGCAAAGTAGGTTTCAATCAGGACATTCAATCCAGATAAAGAAGATTCAAGTTCCGAGTATGCTTCAGAAAATGCTTGGAGCTTGTGGGGATCAAGGTCCAAAACAAGGGTTGGTTCATCAAACTGGATCCATGAAGCACCAGCGGCCTTAAGATCAGCTATAACTTCCCTGAGTTCATTATTATAAGTTAGAGAAATCCAAGGGTTTGATCATCTGGGGCAAGAAATTAATCGCTTTATACAGTTCAAGGTTCTTACTTGTAAATAGCAAGGATTTTTGGAAGGAGAGAGAGAAGAGAAAAGGTTTTCTCAACACCCTTTGCAGGTTTGGAGAGCAACAAGTATGAGACGGGACCAATCAGGACTGGAACCGTATCTACTCCAAGCTACAAGAAGAAATCAAATATTCAACAACAAGGATAATATATATGAATGCATGAAGTAAAGATCTTATCATAATGACCCAAACACTGCTGACACAAGAGCATCAACAAAACACTTCTCTGTCAAACTCTTGATTGACCTACCATCATAAGAA